GGGCTGCACGCTCAGGCCGTGGGATCGGTGAGTGCCACCCCAGACCCGGTCTGAAGCCCTTCCGTGACCCCCAAGGGGCGGGGAGGCCGATTTGCCCCCGGAGCGCTGAGGCAGAAGTGGACATCTCCCCTTTCCAAAGCGCCTTTTCCCTGCCCTTTCCCTTTTCCTTTTGACCCTCTCGTACCCCAAGGGAAGGTAGCCTGGATCCTGCCCTTACCAGGAACTTCTGTGAACAAGGACCAGACCCGGTCTGAAGCCCTTCCGTGACCCCCAAGGGGCGGGGAGGCCGATTTGCCCCCGGAGCGCTGAGGCAGAAGTGGACATCTCCCCTTTCCAAAGCGCCTTTTCCCTGCCCTTTCCCTTTTCCTTTTGACCCTCTCGTACCCCAAGGGAAGGTAGCCTGGATCCTGCCCTTACCAGGAACTTCTGTGAACAAGGACCTTTCATGGTCACCTTCCACCTTGCCAGCAGCGGGCGACCCTCAGTCGGGGGTGGGGGGAGGTCCCGGTCGGCAGGGTGGGTCCCCGCCCCTGCTCCTCTCCAGAGGGACCTGGGAGGGGGCGCTGGCCCCGGGAGGCGTCGGGGCAGCCGCGCCCTTGGCTGGGGTCACGTCCACCTTCCCGGGAAGGACATACTCTCCCAGTGCCAGGTGCTTAAGGAGCGGCATCCCAGCCTGGGCCCGGCGGGCCCTTTGCCAGGATCGGGAGCCCCCGGTTCCCGCCGGGAACCTCAGGCGGGGCTGGCGAGGCTACCAGGACCCTCACCCGGCTTTTCTATTCCGCCCTCCGAGCCGAGGAGAACCTGAGGCTGGGGAGGAGGAGGAGCTGGTGATCAGGTTGCCGCTTGCCTTGCCTTGACTTGGTGTTTCATCTATTCATTACCGGCTCCCTCCTGCCCGCAGTGGTCACACCCTTTCCAGAACTGCTTGGCTGGTAACCACGAAGCCGAGTGGGAGCAAGAGCGGGGCGGACTGGAGAAAACCGCTCTAACCTGACTTAACTCTGGCTGAGAGCTGACACTGCACATAATAACCAACATTTGCAAAGAGCTCTCACGGATTCCACTAGCGGCAGCCCATTTGATCCTGAACTCTACAGTGTGAGGTCTGGGTGTTAGTATTCCTTTTTGCAAACGACAGGGGTGAGGGGTGGGGCTGCAAATCTGGGTCAGTGTGATGTGGAGGGTGAAGACACTGGGAAACAGAAAAGCCTCCTGCTCTATCCTCTCCACTAGACAGAAATATCCTTTTTTAGCATAGCCAGTAGTTGGTGGGGTGGGAGGCTAAAGTCAACCAGATACTCCAGGAAGAGAAATCAGAGCTCAGTCATTTACTGGTAAGTCACATCACCTTCCTGGTCCACTCTGATTCCTCATCTTGCAAATGGAGATAGTAAAATCTACCTGGCAAGGAGTGGTTGTGGAGGTTGCAAATGAGGATATAAAGCTTAGAGAGCTCTAGTGATATGCATCTGAAGGGCTTTGGGTTCTAACCCACAACCTCTCGTGCTCCGCCTCTGGTCCTCTAAGATGAACTTCCAGTCGAGGGAGTTTTGTTCTCCTTGAGTTTCTGGAGCCTCTGCATAGCTGTCCTTTGGATGGGATACAGTCAGTGTCCAGGGTGAATGTAGAATGTGTCTAACAGGCCAGATGCTCTTCTCTGCCTGAATGTTCCCATGGAAGTCCCTATTCCTGTTCTTTCAAAGGCTAGATGTATTCAGAACCTTAAGAAAGTCTCCACCCAATTAAAAAAACAAGAAAGAAAAAAAAAGAAAGTCTCCCCTCCTGGCCAGGGTGGCTCAGTAATTGAGCATCAACCTATGAACCAAGAAGTCACGGTTCAATTCCTGGTCTGGGCACATGCCCGGGTTGGGCTGTGGGCTCCATCCCCATTGTGGCACATGCAGGAGGCAGCCAATCAATGATTCTCTCATCATTGATGTTTCTATCGCTCTCTCCCTCTCCCTTTCCCTTTCTCTCCGAAATCAATTTTTTAAAAAAATTATTTTTTCTTAAAAAAAGAAACTCTCCCCCAAGGTTAATCCATTTCAGACACCTCTCATCATGCTTTGCTGGGGCAGTGTGCGGCCTGGGAAATTCTGAGTCTGAGGGTCACTTACAGTTTTACAGAAATTGGCCTAAGCCCAACTCACAACACCCCTCAGATGGGCTCCCATCCTCTGAAATTCTCATTTTGAAGTTGACACTGGAATATTCCACCTGATTAGTGCCCCCAAATATTGCTAATTGTTTCCCCTCTGAGTGCATATTCAGATTTGTGTTTTGTGGGTTGCTTTCAATCCATGACCTCATTGACCTTCACAGCCACTCCTTGTGAGGTAGATTTTACTATCTCCATTTGCAAGATGAGGAATCAAAGTGGAAGGTGATGTGACTTACCAGTGAATGACTGAGCTCTGATTTCTCTTCCTGGAGTATCTGGTTGACTTTAGCCTCCCACCCCAACAACTACTGGCTATGCTAAGAAAGGATATTTCTGTCTAGTGGAGAGGAGAGAGCAGGAGACGTCTCTGTGTCCGAGTGTCTTCACCCTCCACATCACACTGACCCAGATTTGCAGCCCCACCCCTAACCCTGTAGTAAAACTAGCCCCGGAAGAGCCCAGGGAGCCTCCAGAAGCTCTTGTAAAAGTTTCCCCTGCTCCCTACTTGGCAGGGAACAGAAGAGACTTCCTTTCTGCCCAGGCTCGCTCTGGTTCTCATTTTGGTTCCTCTGCTCAGTGCGGGGAGCGGGAGTGAGTCACCCTAAAGAAGGCTTCACCTGTGTGTGGCCCTTGTCTTCTCTCTCGTGCCATAGGCTCTGGAATGACTCATCTCAGATTCTTCCAGAACTGAGCCCTTTGCTGGACCCATGCCCGAGCCTGTGTCCTCATGACTAGGTGGATTGCACTCCTTGTGCCTGTAACCCAGAACTCTGGCTGACCACACTGAAGCAGGATGCTCCAGCAGGTAAAACCTCACCCTCAGATAACTCAGGCCCCAAAGCACCTGAAGCACCTTTGCATCTTTTACTTGTCTGAATGTTGTTTCACTACCCTGTCCGGGAAGGAAGAAAATGACCCCTTAAAGGTCTTCTTTTCTCACTTCAGGAAGTTATTCCAGTGCCTTTCACCTGTTGTTAAGTTCTTCCTGATACTTAATTTGAATCTCCCCTGTTGTAGTTGATAGCTCTTTTCCTTGGTGTGGTTAAGGCAGTGGTTCTCAACCTTGGCTGCACATTAGAATCACCTGGAAATCTTTTTAAAATCCTGATTTCTGGGCCTCATCCTCCGGAAATTCTGTTTCTTTGTTACTAATGTTGTGGCCCCACCCCATAACAAAGAAACAGACTTTCCGGAGGATGAGGCCCAGAAATCAGGATTTTAAAAAGATTCCCAAGTGATTCTAATGTGCAGCCAAGGTTGAGAACCACTGGGTTAAGGGAAGCCTGAGGGCACTTTGGTGACCTTCAAGCCTGAACCAGTGAGGAAGTCCTGAGAGGTGTCACTGCCAGCCGGAATTGTTGAGGCACAGGGGAAGCCTGGGGCTTCCAAAAGGAGGTGAAGCTGAGAGATGTCCCTGAAGATGTCTCCTTGAAGCTGGGCCTTAAAGAATAAGTAGGGCCTGGCCAGTGTGGCTAAGTGGTTGAGCATCGACCTATGAACCAGGAGGTCACAGTTCAATTCCTGGTCAGGGCACATGCTCAGGCTGCGGGCTCAATCTCCAATGTGGGGTGTGCTGGAGGCAGCCGATCAATGATTCTCTCATCATTGATGGGCTCACTAGTCTCATGGAAACCTACACAGACCCTTTCCTCCAAAAGCAGATTTCAGCCAGGTTACTGTCTTCTCCCCACCCCATCTTCCCTACATCCCCCAGAGAGGAAAGAGGAGAAATGGGGAGAAGAAGCACGTGGAAAATGTTGGCATCATGCATGGGAAAGGGAGAAGGAGGAAGGGCCTGTTCCCTCAACTTCTGAGCCTCTTAAGTAGACCCAGGGCACAGGAAACTAGTTGTGTAATTAACCAGATTAATTAAGCCCCAAGAGGCAGGTGATGAAGGCATGGAGCTACCTCACAGCTGATTTTTCATCTCAAATTGAATGGTTTCTTTAACACGTTAAGTGCCATGTCAGTCACCGGTGACTGACGCTATACTTTCTGTCTGGACCCGTCCCTCACTGGTGCTGCCAGCATATCGGTGAAATTGGATATCGCAGGGGCTAAACGGAAAGGAAGACAAAGCAGGCTTGGCGCTAAACGTGTTTAAAAAAAAAAAAGCCCAAAGCATGGTTCTTTTCCTTTGTGATACTCCTATAGCAGCCCCCCACCGTGACCCCCAACCCTGCCAGGCCCAGTAAGGCTAGTAGCTGGCCAGCCTGGAAGCTGGAGCTCATGGCATAGGAGACAGGATAGCATTTATTGATTTATCCAGTATTCACTATGTGCCAAGGACTAAGTGCTCTTTATATTGCTTCTTGTTTTTCTTCCCAATAGCCCTGTGAATAGGCTTTATTTTCTTTTATTTACAAAAAAAACCCCAAAAACCTGTAGCCGTAGCCGGTTTGGCTCAGTGGATAGAGCGTCGACCTGCGGACTGAAAGGTCCCAGGTTCGATTCCGGTCAAGGGCATGTACCTTGGTTGCAGGCACATCCCCAGTGGGGGGTGTGCAGGAGGCAGCTGATCGATGTTTCTCTCTCATTGATGTTTCTAACTCTTTATCCCTCTCCCTTCCTCTCTGTAAAAAATCAATAAAATATTAAAAAGCAAAACAAAAACAAAAACCTGTGGCTCAGAAAAGTTAAGTCACTTACCCAGGCTCACTCGCCTAATAAGTGGCAGGACTGAAATTTGAACCCACCAGACTATGATACTGGAAGCCAATTCTCTCTCCGCTGCACAGTCCTACCCCTACACAGCTGCCAGCTGGTCTGAGTCACAGCTCTCCTGGCCCTGTTATACCCTCCAGGTGAATGGCCATAGTTCAGGCCCTGATGCCCATGGTGGGAAAGCCCTCAGAGAAGACCTGCAGGAGTTCCTAGGCCAGGAGGCCCCACTGCACCTGCTGGATGACCTCACCAAGGTGAACCCTGTGACGCTGGAGACAGGTATGGGCCTCCCTCTCCTCAAGAGTGCCGTCTCCAAGAGCGTGGCACTTTGGTGTAGGTATTCAGCACAGCTTCTCCTGGCCAGGCAAGGCAGGCAGGACTCCAACCTGGAGCCAGATACGCTGCTTCAGACCAGCCTGGCAAGTGCATCTGGGCTCCCCAACACCGACTTTGCTCCAGATTTGGCGTTCATCTTAATTAGATCTTGTACCTATTCATCAGGGAGCTGCTGGAATCTAATGGCTCTTGGCTGAGTGCAGAGGGAGTGCTGTTAGGCAGATGTTTGTGTATGCTAGTGTCTACATTTAAGCCAGAGTTTGCTAAAAGTACCTCTGCCTCAGTCCTGAGGTGTTTGCAGGCCCGGTACATGGCAGACACATTCTACACCAATGCTGGCTGCACCCTGGTGGCTCTGAACCCCTTCAAGCCTGTCCCTCAGCTCTACTCGCCAGATCTGATGAAAGAGTATCATGCTGCTCCTCAGCCCCAGGTAAGACTCAGCCACTTCCTGGGCCTCAGGACTCCCCTACCTCCCCTTAGGCCTCCTTGCAGCGTCCCCGTCCTTATCCATCTATGCATCGGCCGTGCTGGTGCCACAGCCCTGCCCATCAGGAGCTCGAGGAATTTTGGGCACATGACAGTGGTGCAGAATGAGAGGTAAATACTTGTTTAACTGAGTTTGGATCACAAAATAGGGACATAGGGCAAAGTATTTTTTTTCTTATTTATGAGTTTATTAATAGGAAAGGATTTACAAAGATATGTTTGTGTATTTAACAAACCACTGTTTAGGAAAAAGATAAAATTAATGCGCTAAGGATTACCCTAGAAAATTCAGTGCATGTTCATCTCTACTGAGAGGAATACATTCTTATGGGGGCGGGGGAAGTGCAGGCAGGGAGTAGACTAGCTGGTGTCAAAGTGCATCATGTGTTCAGGGAAAGGCAAGAGCAGACCTGCTGGCAGGAAGGGGCTCTTGGGGAGAGAGGCAGTAGATGAGGTAGGAAGAGGCTGAGATAAATAGGAAGGTTCTGAGTCATCACAGCAGGCAGAGTCCACAGAGCTGCTTCCAGGAGTGGAGGTGGACTGAATGGTGCCCACTGGGGGGAGAATTATGCTGGAAGCTGGGGGAGTTGCGTTGAGGAAGGTGAGACAAGAGGCAGGGAGAACAGTTGAAGACTTTGTAATAGTCCAGGTGAGAAGAGACTGGGGCAGAAGCTGATGGAGAGAGGGACAGCTCTGATACCATCCAGAACTGTGCCTTCTCCTTCAGGAAGCTATGAGTAAGCAATCATTGTGGGGTGGAATCATGTGAGGTCTGTCCTGAGAGCCCGTATCTCACTGACCATCTGCCTCCTCAAGGGCAAAAGCCATGTCATGGTGCCCTCTGCTTTCCCAGTGCCCACCTTCATACCTGGCACATTGAGGACAATTAATGTTTGGTGATGGAAAGGAGAACAGTGGCCTTGGGATGCAAATCAGATGGTTTCACTTACTTGCTGAGTGGCCTTGGGAAGGTTATTTAACCCCTCTGAACCTCAGATTTCTCATCTATAAAAGAGGACTAGCTATCCATCTAACACAGACTTCTTAGCAGTAACTTGAAAGAAAATTCTTTGCAAACTGCAAAGTACAGTAACAAAATAATACAGAACAGAATAAGACTTTTAAGATAAAATGGGATAAAGTATTCAAGGCTAGCTCTGCTTCCAGACTGAGAGAAGATGAGTGGGTAAAGCCACCAGGGGGGTCCCACAGTTGGGCCTAACACTGTTACATCCAGGACATTTTTCTAGAGGAAGCCTTTTGGCACTGCTGTTGGCAGGCTCCCCATCTCAGCCATCATTAGATCAGCATTCCTTGAAGACACACATGACCTTTCACTCCTTGATGTTTCAGAAACTGAAGCCCCACATCTTCACTGTGGGTGAACAGACCTACAGGAATGTCAAGAGCCTGATTCAGCCAGTCAACCAGTCCATCGTTGTCAGTGGAGAGAGTGGTGCTGGAAAGGTAGGAGGGCCTCTTTCCCATCCTGTCCACTTCATGACGGGCTGGGTGGGCAGAGAGGGAGGGGGACGTTCCTCGTGGAGCCCTTTGCTACCTTGTCATTCCCGGACAGGATGGCTTTAGCAGGGAGTCATTGTGTAGCGGTGGGCAGGAAAGGAAGTCAAGAGACAGGATTCTAGTCCAGGCTCTTCCACCAGCTCTGATGTAACTCTAGGTGAGATACTTTCCTCCTAGGGCCTAGGACCTAGGCCTTCATTTCCTCATCATAGGTCTCTCCCATCTCTGACACCGATGGAAACAAAAGATAGCTATTGGGGATTCCAGCATAGTGGTTCAGAGCACATCAGAAAGAAATTTCAATTCTGTAAACTTGTTCTTTCACCTATAAAATGGCAAGGAAAGGAGGACCAACACCCAACTCATGGGACTTCTGTGAGAGTTAAATGAACCAGTGCACATAGACACTGAAGGTAGCTGGGATTACTTATGGGAAAGGGTTTATTGAAGTAGCCCACTTGCATCCTCTGTGTTGTCCATGATGGCAAGGGCAGTGCCTTGGGCCAGAAGCTCCTGGTGAGTCACGTAGCTCCCTGGGGAGCAGAACCACAATAGGTGAGACCGAATGTTGCACAAGAATGGGTGAGGAGTTGCATAGCTGGTCAGAGGAGGCTACTGGTCCAGGCCTCACCCTCCTGGCAAGCCTCATGCAACCACCCCTCCCTTGCCACCAAACTTACCTTCTCAAGGGATTCTTTGGACCATAAACCCCCTCTGTCTACACTCACATATGATGGAATTGCTGAGTACTGAGTACCTGCCAGATTCTAGGCCCTGGGCCCACCGCTGAGGAGTGGCAGGGGGAGGAACAGAGATGCAACTGGCTTTCAGGGAGCTCTTAGTCCACTGGGAAAGATAGACAAGGAAACAGATGAAGGCAGTAAGCTGCAGGGATGAGGACTTGGACTTGGGTGGGGAGGAGATCTTTGACAGTTGTATCAAGGTGGCCAGTGCAATGACAGATGTCCAGCTCCTGGACAAAGCCCACTGTCCCTCTGGGGAGCTGCAGCTGGACCTGGCTGGAGTCTCATGCAGCCAGAGCTCAGTAACCCATTACTGAGCAGCTGCTGTGGTCATGGGCTGGGCCTGGTAGACTTATTTTTAAATAGCATAGTTGCATAGTTCAAAAATCAGGCAATACTGCAAGGCTTACAAAGAAAAACAACAACCCTGCCCCATATTTCTCAACCCCCTGGCTACTTTCACATCTTATAGCAGTGTATCTGGGTGTTTCTATCATGTTTCTAACCAGCATGATATTGTTAGTGACTGATTTTTTCAGTTTTGGACCTAATCTTTTCATTTCCTAATTTGGTGAGGATTTAGTCTTATTTCCCTGCCCCCAAACACATATGTAATTTTACCATGATTTCTAATTAAGTTAATAGGCAGTATTTATATTATAACCATGTAATCTATGATTATATTTCCTTGTCTAGTTTTTACTCTCCCTCATATGATTACCCCAGTTTTCTATTTGTTTAGTTTCTTCATGCCTATTAAATTATTACCAAACTTATCACCAAAGCTTTTCCAGCTTGTTCAACTGGCAAGTACATCTGGTTCTTTTTTTTTTTCTTCGAGGTGCCCTTCCCAGAGCTCTCAGATCTGCTCCCATCTGGCCTGGTGGCTGCCTGGGGCTACTGCCATGCAGCTATTACCTGGGGGCTCTCTGCCTCACTCTGGGGGTCAGATTGCTGTGTCCATGATAATCCCCCTTGCTGGAATCCACGCTTCCCTTCCTCCTCTACTGCTTTGTATTTATGGAGCACATTCTTTAGTAGCTTCCTGGAAAAGGCAGTAAATGAAGGGCAAATTTTTGAGTTGCACATCTGAAAATGTTTATATTGCCTCAAATTGGATATGTTGGCTGGGTTTTATAATTTCAGGTTAGAAATAATTTTCTTTCCAAATTTAGAAGTTTTTCCTTATGTATTGAGTGTTGCTTTTGAAAATCCGAGTCCATAAATTGTGATTTTACTTTCCAAAAGCTGTAGGTATTAAAACTCACAGTGGTATATCTTGGCATGGTCTTTTTTTTTTTTTTTACTTTCTATGCTGGATACTTTGTGTGGGTCTTTTAACTTGGAAACTCATGTTTTTCGTTTAGAGAAATGTTTTTGTAGTATATCTAATAATTTACTCCTCTCCATTTTCTCTTTCTGGAGCTCCTATTAGTAAGTTTGATTAATTGTTTAATAGTCTTTTTTTTTTTTTACCTAATCTTCCATCTCTTAACATTTTGTTCTGTCTTCTGGAAGATATCTCCTACTTTATCTTTCCAAAATTTGTTTTCCCTGTTTTTAATAACTTTCAATTCTTTTGAATTTTTGTTCAAAATTTTAATTCTAAAAACACTTTCTTGTTCTCTATTATTTCCCCCCCAGTATCTTGGTCTTTTCATAGGTTCAATATCTTCTCCTATTGTTGAAAATATTTCATAATTTTTACTTGCCTTCTGCTCCTTACATTGACTGTTTCCTTCTAGTTCCTTTTCCTTCATTTATTTTGATATTTGTCATTCATGTAAAGGAAGTTTACCAACTAGTTATTGATCCTCAAGTATCTGTTCATACTTAAGATACAGTAGCCTGCTCAGGTCAGGGTGTGTTGTCCCATCTCTGCCCCAGGCCCCCTTCTTTTTCTTAAATGCATCCTCTGGAGCTAGAAGCAAGCACTCCCCATTTCACAGAGCGGGGGAAGTGCTTTGCCCAAGGACACAGTTGAATTCAGCATTCACCTTGCTTGGTAGAGGAGATGGTGCTAGTGGGCACCGTTCCCTCAGGCAGGCTCAGAGGTGGGAGGGAACTTGGGCAGGGCTCCCACAGGCTGTTTCTGCCGTAGACATGGACTTCCCGTTGCCTGATGAAGTTCTATGCTGTGGTGGCTGCCTCACCTACATCCTGGGAGAGCCACAAGATTGCAGAGAGGATCGAGCAGCGCATCTTGAACTCCAACCCTGTCATGGAAGCTTTTGGTAAGCTCGGTGTCCTCTGTCCCCTGTCCTCTGGGATTTGCCACCTTCCAGGGAGAGGAAAGTGAAACCCTCTCTGTGGCGGTTGGAGGATGAGTGTATCATTCACTGCCTTGGGCTCCCAATCCCTCCAGGTACCCTGAGCCTCTTTCCAGCAGAGATGCTGTCATTCAGCCATCTCCTCCCTTGAGCAGATGTAACAGTGGAGGGGATCTTGTGGCTCCTCTGGTCTAAATCCTGATGGTTCAGAGGAGAGGGGAACTGGTCTAAGGCTCAGCCATCTCCTCCCTTGAGCAGATGTAACAGTGGTGCTGGAGAGGATCCTGTGGCTCCTCTGGTCTAAATCCTGATGGTTCAGAGGAGAGGGAACTGGTCTAAGGATGTACAACAGTTAGTGTCCATGTTGGGACTCTAGATGTTGTGCCTACTGTCTAACTCAATAGTGACAGCTTGTTGTTTTTTATTCTTTCCCTTCAAAGAAGACAGTCCCTGGCTGCGTAGGCTTGCTCATTTCAGTTCATTGCCAGGAAGTCCTTCTAACTCCCAAGTCACACTTGCTTAGTCCTGTCCCCTGTGACATGGAAACCAAAAAGGGGCCTTTAGATGACTTGATAGAGACATGGCCCCAGCAGACCTGCAGCCACATTGGCCCATGAGGACTCTGTGAACATAGGGGAGCGGTATAAACAGAGGTGTGATCTGTAGGGAATGCGTGCACGCTGAGGAATAACAACAGCAGTCGCTTTGGGAAGTTCATCCAGCTCCAAATGAACAGGTAATTGCTGCTGCAGCCACTGCCCTGGCTGATGGGAGGACGGGGGCAGGGAGTCTGCAAGTGGCTGGAGTAGTCTCTAGCCTGGGCCACCCCTGTGGGCAGAGCCCTGCTCCTCCTGGCATGCATGTGTATGGGACTTATTAGGATCAGTGAACCCTGAGGGTGACCTCTGAATCTAGAGAACTACAGCTGCTGCAGCCTTGAGGAACCTGGGCAGCAGGCTTGTCACAGCCTGTGTGTTCCTCCTGACTTTTACCCTTGCTTGAGGACTTAGAGTTAAACAGCCACTTCTGTGGCCACAACCCTGAGCTTGACCCTGGCGGGGCTTCTGCTCCTGCCTTGGGATGGGGCACAATGACTTACAGAGGCCTTGGCTCTGCCCACCTGAGCTGGTTGCAGGGGAATGTCCCGTACCACTCAAGGGCCTGCTGAGTAGTCCCTCATCCTCATGACCCCCATCCCATTGGCGAAGTGGAAGAGCCTGGTCGGGAAGTGGGGTTGCAGTCTGGCAAACAGTAAATGCCTATGGAATGAATGGGTAACTAATGGGCTCTGGTCTGCTTGTGCCAGGGCCCATCAGATGACTGGAGCTGCAGTCCAGACCTACCTCCTAGAGAAAACTCGCGTGGCCTGCCAGGCCTCCAATGAGAGGAACTTCCACATCTTCTACCAGGTCTGTGCCAGGTGGGGCCCACAGCTGCCCAGATGCAGGGTGGAGATGGCCTGTGACTCTCAGCCCCTCCTTCTGCCCCCTGCCTGCCTCTTTAATTGGCTTCCAGTGGTGCCAACACTTATTCCAGCAAACTTTATGCAACACTGCCTCCCACTGGACCCAGGCTTCTGGGATGGTTTGGATGGGATGTGTGTTACCTCCTCTGTCAGACCAGACGGTGCCGGGGACTCTCCTTAGAATGGCACTGTTTCCTCCAAACAGAGCGAGGACTTCCCCAGAGCTGTGCCTCTTTCATCAGACGGGTGGTCCCCCAAAGCATGGATAGTGTGTCCCCAGCTCTCAGGTTGAGCCTGGGGCCTCCCCAGAGAGGAGTTGTGCCTTCCTCAAACATAAGCCTCCTCAGACGGTGTTTGGCACCGGGTTGCAGACATGAAAACTGGTTGCTGCTGCTTTTGCCCTGTGCCTACCCTGGGTGCTTTACAGTCTTGTGATGTCACTGCCATCTCTCACTCCTTTTATCTCGACCCCAGGTCTATATAGGCCTGGGCTTCCCTCGCACCCCCAGCTCAGCAACCTGTCCCCCTCCCACAGATCTGCAAAGGAGCCAGTGCAGATGAGAGGCTCCGGTGGCACCTCCCCGAGGGAGCCGCCTTCTCCTGGCTGCCCAACCCAGAGAGGACCTTGGAAGGTAGGGGGAGCCTTACCCAGCACCCACCCCCCTCTGCTCACAGCCTGCCTCTCTCACCCCTCACTGCCCCTGCTGACCTCTGGTCCTGACACTGGGCTGTGACTTGGGTTTCTTTTCAGAGGATTGTTTTGAGGTGACCAGAGAGGCCATGCTTCATCTTGGCATCGACACCCTCACCCAGAACAACATCTTTAAGGTCAGAAGGAAAGCCATGGCACTTACATTTGACAGAGGTCACTGGAAGCCTCCTCCGAACCTGAGTCTTCCTGAGAACCTGAGACTTTGGGCCCCGCTTTGCAGTCTCCAAGTGGACCGCTCCTCTGTGCCACTGAACCTGGACACGGTGTCAGGGTGGGAGGGGCGTGGAGCACAGTTCTGTATATAAAACAGCACCGAGAGCGTTAGAGCTCAGAGGGCAAGGAGCCTGGGTCAGCTTTTACTGCAGTAGTCAGAGTAGGGAAATCATGCTGCCACGTTTGCCCAGGGCAGCTAATGGGCTCTGGTGTGTAGGAATTTTAAAATCATGTTTACACCCTTTAGCTCACTGGGTTTTTCAACAGGCCTGTGTATAGGGAGTTTTCCTACTTTATGCTTGAGAAGACTAGAGAGGTAAAGTGACCTGCCCAAGGTCAGACACCACTGATACAGATAGACTTGCACCATGCGGAGTAAGTCCAATTCCCACCTTCTTTCCCCTCCTCTCCAGACATGCTGACCCAGGTGAGCTGGGCTCCTCATCCCCATTATTGGCCTCCCTCCTCCCATCTGTCTTTGCCAACTGACTACCTCCTGCTCCCTCACCTCCTCACCCACCAGAGCAATGGGAGGGAGTAGATAGGATAGGCTGGCAGCAGAGACGGGAGCCACTGCAGGGAGGTGGCAGTGCAGTGGAAAGTGACCTCCATCTCCAGGTGGGGCTCCTCAGGCAGGGAGGGGACCACGGCCAGTGTGGACTCCGCCAGGCAAGCACCTGGCCAGAGGCACAGCAGGAGTGGACAGTAGTAGGGTGTCCAGACAGGGGTGCTGGTTGGGGGCTGGCATGACCCTCTGCTCCAGCCACACTGCCCATCGGGCACAGTAGCCTCCTTTCTACAGCTCCTAGGGGCTCGTCCACATGCATCGAGTGCAAAGGCAAGAGGGCCCCCACTGTACAGACAACACAGTCACAGATCCTCCCCTAGGCTGGGCCATCAGAGCCCAACTGTGCTGGGAAAGGGCCAAAGGGAGTCCAAGCCCAGCTCCATAGAAGTAAGCCTGCTCCACGAGGAACAGGAGCCGTGTCCTACAGTCTGCTCCAGAGGGGAAGGCAGAGGGACAGACCATGGTGACCTGGAGGCCCCACCAGCTGCCCTGGGAGGCTTCTGTAGTCAGACTGCCCGGGTTCTCATTGAACCTGTCCCCTTCTCATCTCTGTCATGGACAATCGTTGCAGCACTCGCCTCACTGATGTTGAAAAGATTAACCAAGCCCTAGCTGGTTTGGCTCAGTGGATAGAGTGTTGGCCAGTGGACCAAAGGGTCCCAGGTTTGAGTCCAGTCAAGGGCACATGCCTGGGGTTGCGGGCTCAATCTTCAGTAGGGGGCGTGCAGGAGGCAGCCAATCAGTGATTCTTTCTCATCATTGATGTTTCTTTCTCTCCCTCTCCCTTCCTCTCTGAAATCAATAAAAGTATATTTTTTTAAAAAAGAAAAGATTAACCAAGATGATGCATGTAACATGCATGGAATCGTGTCTCATAGAGTCCTGCAGCAAATCGGCAGTAGCTGGGAGCTGCTATTATTCTTCTCTTGTGATTATATTTAGCAGAAGAGAAGCCTTCCAGGCTAGGCTCCAGCCCTTACAAGGTGCCCACTGTGTGTCTCCTTTCTCCTGCCCCTCAGGTCCTGGCTGGACTGCTGCACCTCGGCAACGTCCGGTTTGCTGACTGTGAGGATGAAGCCCAGCCCTGCCAGCTGATGGACGATGCCAAGGGTGAGAGCAAGGGTGGCAGGGGGCTGTGCCTCAGGCTTTGGTCACACACCCAGGGAGCAGGCCAGTCCTGCCCAGAAAAGAGCCAGTATCGGTGGGATTGGGTGGGAGGCCAGAGGGTGAAATTCGGAATTTAACATTTGATTAAACATTAGCTGTAGCGTCCTGCCCTGGATAAGTTACTCCTCACCCCATCTCTGAAGCAGGCAGCATTATCCCCATTTTACAGATGAGCAAACGAGGGTCAGAGGGTTTATAATTTGTCCCACTTGTGGCAATGTGGACTGGGACACAGAAGTCCTGGGTTCATGCCCTGCCTCTGCCTTCGGCAGGTCTCTTCGCCTACCAGCAAGGTTTCCTCTGTTCATTTGGGTGGGCGATGGTTCCATGACAATGGCTTCGCTGCCTTGTGAAGGGGGCTGTTTGGATGGAAGGTTTGTCCTCCCAGGCTCTGTCAGAACATCGGCCTCGCTGCTCTGGCTCCCGGAGGACCCACTGCTGGAGACACTGAGGATCAGGACCATCAGGGCGGGCAGGCAGCAGCAGGTGTTCCGGAAGCCCTGCTCCCTAGCCGAGTGCGACACCCGCAGAGACTGCCTGGCCAAACTGATCTACGCACGGTGAGCACTCTGGGCCCCTGCTGCCTCCAAGTTCTCCCCTCTTTGGAGTTGAACCAGACACTGCCATGCAATAGGCCCAGGGTGAGGGCTGCCAGACACAGCAGATGGCTTCCCTCCCTGCTCCCCAGATCCTTGGGGACAGCAGGGAGTAGCTCCTGAGACTTCCCCAAGCACCTGGGGAATTTGATAGATGGTGGTAGAGCCAGAACCTCAGCCCAAAGTGCAGGGCAACCCAGCAAGCAGCAAGTGGGAGCCCAGAACAGGGTCGGGTGGGTCCTGGCCTTTCCTATTGGGTGATATGGGCATGTCCACCCTCTGGCCATGTGGTTAAGGGTGCTTTCTCACCCTGGGTTCTGAGAACCTTCATGATGCCATGTAAGGGTGTCAAGTGGCATCTTTGAAATTAGGGGACGGAACACGTGTATGTACGTGCGCATGTGCTTATGGGAACTCGGGCCCTCCTGGGTGTGGCACCCTGGCTGAGGAGCAGCTCTGCCACCCCTCAGATTCAGCTCGACCTGCTCTCACCAGTCTCCTCTTCCCCAACCCCAACAGGCTGTTCGACTGGCTGGTATCGGTGATCAACAGCAGCATCTATGCGGCCCCCGACTCCTGGACCACTTTCATAGGTAGCAGGGCCCCCTGCTGGGAACACCCCTTCTAAAAAAGACCAGGGCAGCTCTGGGCCCACCGTGCTAACTCTGGCAGCTCCTTTCCCTTCCCTGCATCCCCCTCTCGTCTGTCCACCAGTGTTTGGGCAAGGACATCTCTACTCCCGGATGCTCACATCTGACTGGTCCATAGCTCACCAGGCAGACTCAGATGGCACCTGAGAGAGTGGTGGGGATGAGTGAGAGATAACCTTGCTGGAACCTGGGTAGGAATGTCAGGTAGGGGAGGCAGTAGAGCTCAGAGGCACCAGTGAGTTTGTTCACAGAATGTGGAATTCTAGACACCAACTGGGCTGGTGAGACCCAGGCCCTCCAAACTGGGCTGGATGCAGGAAATGTTCCCTGGGACCTGGTGCCCTCAAGGAGGGGCCTACCAGGACCTAAGGATTCAGCCTCGAAGAGGACCTGGTGCTCTGGGTTGCCCTTCACACACATTCGGTCTTTCTTCCTGTTGCAAGTTCTGAGGGGGCATGAGGTAGAGCTGGCACCCTGGGGTGGGGTATGGTGCTCTGCCCACTGTGGGTGTCATGCTCGCTCAGCCTCATCCCCAGGCTGCCAAGGATGAAGCTTCACCCTGGGCCCCTACAGTCCCCTGGCCTCTGCAGCGGCCCCATGGGTTCTCCCCTCACCACCGCCGCCCCACCCCCCCAGGCCTGCTGGATGTGTACGGCTTTGAGTCGTTCCCTGACAACAGTCTGGAACAGCTGTGCATCAACTATGCCAATGAGAAGCTGCAACAGCACTTTGTGGCTCACTACCTAAAGGCTCAGCAGGTGAGCGTGTGGCAGGGTGGGGCCATCCTGGATCCTCTATCTCTTCCTGGCCCCCAGGACCTAGCCTTTAGTTCTTGATGCCATTCTGGAATAGTTGGTGTTGCTGAGGCCAGCCATAGGATGGCCTTCTGGGCCTCAGCCCTTAGCTGCCTCCTGCCCCCTCACCTTGCCCTCTAGGAGGAATACGCACTGGAGGGCCTGGAGTGGTCATTTGTCAACTACCAGGACAACCAGACCTGTTTGGACCTCATCGAGGGGACCCCCATCAGCATCTGCTCCCTCTTAAACGAGGTGGGAGCATCAGTAGTGTGCTGAGCAGCAGAGGTGGGCTTTGGACTTCTCTGGGGCCTTGAAGACTCGTCACTGCCCTTTCTGTGCCTCTGTCTCCCCATCTGCCAAATGGGTTTGCTAATCCTGTACTCCTTCACTCAGGGTCACTGTACTGCCTATGTGACAACTCTGCTACCATGGGGGCGATGGGGTGGAGACTGTGAGGGTGTGGGGAGCCCTCTCACTTTTGTGGCCGTCTGCCTATCCCGCCCCACGTAGGAATGCCGCCTTAACCGGCCAAGCAGTGCAGCCCAGCTCCAGACACGCATTGAAAGTGCTCTGGCAGGCAGCCCCTGCCTGGGTCACGACAAGCTCAGCCGGGAGCCCAGCTTCATTGTGGTGCATTACGCGGGGCCTGTGCGGTACCACACCGCAGGCCTGGTGGAGAAGAACAAGGTGAGGCTGGGCCATGGCCCCTGGGGACCTGGGTACAACGGCACGCTGAGTCATTGCTGCCCATACACGCAGCTTCCTATTGTGGGTCTCCCTCCTGAGTATCTTCCCAGAACCCAGGGTCACCTCTGGGGCCATCTGCCTGAGGTCTGCTCATCAGGCATGACCTGCCCAGAAATGACCCATGTCACACTGGGTTGCTGATTCATAGGCGACCAGCTTGTCTCCCGGACTCAGGGCCTGTCCTACCCTGGAACTCCCTCCTCTGGGGCCTGGATGAGCAGGCTGGCAGGCCTGTGGACAGCCCTGGGTAGCACACCACCTGCCCTCACCCACTGTTCTCGTCCTCTCCCAATAGGACCCTGTGCCCCCTGAGCTGACCAGGCTCCTGCAGCAATCCGAGGACCCCCTGCTCAAGGTGTTGTTTCCTACTGACCCAGAAGAGAAGTCCCAGGAGGAGCCTTCTGGCAAGAGCAGAACCCCTGTGTTGACTGTGGTGTCCAGGTTCAAGGTGGGTCTGGTAGTGCTGACGTGACGTGTTTGGGTCACTCCTCAGTCTCAAATGTTTACCGAGCACTTCCCAGGATTGGTGCTGTTTACGGAGAGCATTGATGAGTCAAAAAGACATGGTCCAGGTTCACACCGAGTTGACAGTCCTGCGTGGGAGACAGAGACAGGAAACAGACACATAGACTTGGCCTAACTGACATGATGGGAAGCCTAGGGGCCTGTGGGTGGCGCAGGGGTCTCTCACCCACTGCTTATGGGGGGCTGTGGAAGAGCAATAGTTACATGCACCCGTGACCTGGCCCATTCCGTTCTCCAGCTTCCTGCTCAGACTTTGTCCTTGGCCAGCGCAGGTTTGTCTCCTCCTGTATCTTATACTTTCTACTGTCTCTCAGCACACTCTGCTTCTCACCCCAGCCACCTCAGCTCCACCCTCCATGTCTCTTTTTAGTTTTTTCCTTCTCATCCTTCAAAGCTCTGCAATATCATCACCTCCTTGAGAAGGTACCCAGGGAGCCCAGGTTTGAATAGCACTTTCCTGTCCAGCCTCAGATACTACTGAGGGTGCCCGTCCAGTGTCTGTGCAGCTTGTTAGACACGGCTCTGAGACAGCAGCAGACTGCCCGGGTCATAGCCCTTCAGTTTCCTGCACACAGGACAGGCTTTGGTTTAATAACAGCTATTTCCTGAATGAATGGCTGGGGGTTCTGAGATTGCTCTTCTAGGAAGATTGTGGGGGTTGGGGACCCTGAGACCAGATGCAGAGACCAACCAGTTGGAGGGTCACAGGTCAAGAAAGGTCCCTGGAGGTAGATGTGAGGAGCAGTGGGACATCAAGGGATGGGAGTGCTTGGACACAGTAAGAGCCTCCAATAGCCATCCCAGGGCACATGAAGATCCTGGTGTTGGGGCTGGAGGTGTTTGATGCAGTCTCTAACCAGGGCCCAGCTGATGCCCCCAGGCAGCTCCAACCTCTGCCTGACCTCGCTCTCCCCTCTGCAGGCCTCCCTGGAACAGCTTCTGCAGGTTCTGCACAGCACCACGCCCCACTACATTCGCTGCATCAAGCCCAACAGCAAGGGCCAGGCACAGACCTTCCTCCGGGAGGAGGTAATTCACACTGAGCCAAAGCTGCTTCGCGGAGAGCCCTATCTGGCCAAGGCCCTGGAGGGGTGAAGGGCAGGACATCTACTCCAAGTGCAGTGACTAGAGGGGATCTCTCAGGCTGGGCCTGACATTAGAGGGGCTTGTCTCCCCATAGCTGGCACGACAGTCATGTATGGTTGTGTGGTCTGCACTGCAGTGACCTAGCTAAGGAAGGAAGTAGAGCTCTGGCGCCTCTTGCTCTCTTCTCACCGAGCACTGCCCTGATGAGACTGGAGCTGCCCAGAATGGCTATCTCTTGCAATTAGCTGGAAGTCTGTCTCGCCTTACATTCTAGGTTTTTAATTTGCACAAAAAGGGCCAGGAATTGTTCTTTGCTCAGGGTACCGGGCTCCATGGGATGTGGATGAGGTGTGAATACTGGGTGATGCTGGAGTGTCCCACAGTCAACTGGTAGATATGACCTTGGGGGTTATAGCCAGAACCACTCTTCTGTGGTCAAGACCATGGTTCAGATCCCAGAAGGCTCTTCACAGTATAACCAACCTCCCATGCCCTGCAGCTGTGACTCACTTGATTGTCTAGCCAAAAATAAAATAAATAAAAACAGAAATGGGGCTGGGCTGCATGTGAGGCAGAGCATCTGCACTGTGGGGATGGTGAGAGCCGTGCCAGCAGCTGCCTCAGCTGTGTCAGAAGCCCTGCACCACATAGGGGACCTGGGGCTGCCAGGACCCTTTTAGCAGGAAGGTATTTCTTAATTTTTTGCTGCCCCAGCCCCAGAGTGTATACCTCCCTCAATGGAGCCTCAGGAGACCCTGCAGTCCACGCTGGCAGGGCCATGGGAATGCCGTCTGCCCTGCTGGCCCCATGCTGCAGGTGCCACACTGTCTCTCCATCCTTGCAGGTCCTGAGCCAGCTGGAGGCCTGTGGTCTCGTGGAGACGATCCACATCAGTGCCGCCGGCTTCCCCATCCGGTGAGTGGGCCCATCACTGCAGGGGCAGGGCCAACGTCAGGGTAGAGCTCAGACTCAGGCCAACAAGAGCCTGCCCAGCCAGGAGACGGATATGGAGATGAAGGGAAAGGGCAGGTCTACAGGTGTCAACCTGAACTCAAGGAACTGTGCTTGTCATTTATCCGTTTACTTTCTGTGCACGATTTTGTGCTAAGCACTGTTTCTAGTATATCTCAGTGAATAAGGAAGGCTGAGTCTGCCCTCTTGGGGCATACATTACTGTGGAAACAAGAACAACAACTCTAAAGTTAATCAATGCTGGGGAAGAAACAGAAAATGCTATTAGGTAGACTAATGGGAAGGGGTATCCTTGGGCTGGTCCAGGACGGGTCGTAGGCAGCTCCGGCCTCTGGGAAGATTTAGGGAGGAGAGCATTCCAGACTAGGGAACAGGTTAGGAACTGAGAGGTGCTTAAGTGACTGGAGCTCAGAGAACTGGGAGGAGGAGGGAGGGATGGGGGCCAGACCTGAAGGACTTCACAGCCTGTCCTGGGTGCTATGGAAGCTGCCGGGCATTCTGAGGAGGGAGTGCTGTGCTCTCACTCATATCCCATGGCTGCCATGTGGAGGTTGGACGTAGGGTCAGGAAAAGAGAGGAGTGAAAGGCTGTTGCAGGTGTACAGGCGAGATGGTGTCCCCGGTGAGGGTGGCAGCAGTGAACACTGGAGAGAAGTGGGTAAAATTGGTGTGGCTTGTGATAGAAAGAGGACTGTGGATTGATTGAACGTGAGTTATTAGGCAGGATGGTCAACTTCTAGGCTTCCCTCTGAGGCAAATGGGTGGATAGGGGATAATTCCTGGAGGCAAGATGGTTTGAGAAAGGCACAGGTTGCAGGGTGGGAGGGTCAGGTTTGAAATGGTGTGAGACAGGCCCGGGCTCAGCAGAGCTCTAAGAACTGGAGGGTCTTAACACCACAAACAAGGAGGAAACCCCATCAGGGATAGAAGGGATTGGGGTCATGCCCTGAGGAATGCTCACATTTCGAGAGGGGGGATGACGAGAAACCAGCAACAATTTTAGTGGCATGCTGATGGCTGTGACAGGAGCCACATTGGTGCAGTGTTGTGGGCAGAAGCCAAACTTAGAGGAGGATGTGCAGATATCAGATGTCACCAGCTGTTGAGAGAAGTGTTGCCGTGAAGGGGAGTAGAGAAATCAGGGTAAGTGGAGGAGGCTGTGGGTCAGAGGACGGGTCGAGACGCAGCCAAGCACGGGTGTGAGGTAGGAGTGGTCTAGTTGTCCAGAGGGGGTCCTGCACGCCCCTTGGAAGGAGGCAGACAGCAAGTCCTCTAGGAAAGGGCCCAGGAAGAACAGACCCTTAAAATAATCTCTCCAGAGCTACAGCCTCGTCCATGCAGTGCAGCCAGGGCAGCACCTCGCTGGGTTGTTGAGCCGATTAAATGCAATTACTCCCGTCGCACCCTGAGCGCTGTGCCCACGGATGAAGTCGCTTCACTCCCTTCTTCCACCCACTTTGGCTTCCAGGGTCTCTCACCGGAACTTTGTGGAACGGTACGCGTTACTGAGGCGGCTCCGTCCTCGCACAGCCCTGGGCCCCCAGAGCCCGTCTCTTAATGAAGGGCGCTCAGGTGAGTGGGGCCCCTTTGTTAGTCATTTGTTCATCAGTCTACGGTTACTGGCTCATAGGGGCAGAGAGTGGTGGGAGGTGAGGCTGGGGTGACAGCTGGGGCCGAGTCACAGAAGCTGGACTTTATTCTCTGGGTGGATGGGGGCACTCTGCATGTTTCCTGGAGACTACTGTGGGGCCACATGGTAGGACTGTTAAGTTGGCGGGAGTAGAGAGAAGCTAGAGATGTGGACACAGGAAATATTGTGAAGAAACTGGTCAGACTGGGCAAGCATTTGATGAGATGTAGAGGGAAAGGAAAGGAAGAAATTAGTTAAAATAATTATTAAAATAATGGGCTCTGCCTGGCCAGTGGGGAAAGGCGGTCTGGGGGAGCTGTTGAGCCTGCTGGGGTCCTCCCCCCAGACTTTGATCTCAAGGGAAAGTCCTGGCCTGTGACCCTGATTTGAGGGTTGTGGGCATGTGGCTGTGACCCCAGCACAGGAGGAGGAAAAGAGGTGCAAGGCTCCGAACTTTGATCTCAAGGTAAAGTCCTGGCCTGTGACCCTGATTTGAGGATTGTGGGCATGTGGCTGTCCTGAGGCTGTGGCCCCAGCACAGGAGGAGGAAAAGAGGTGCAAGGCTCCGCCCAGTAGGATCCCAGCCCAGCGGTAACCACTCCCCCCACTTACACAGCCTTACCCTGGGCCAGGAAACCCAGTTGGGACAATTCTGCTTTGTTTTTCTGTCTTGGGCAGTTTGTCACTTTCCTTTCACCTTTCTCCCCACCGCTCTTCCTCCTCTCTCCATGGTCTGCTCTGCTCTGTCTCTTGCCCACGTCTCCTGGGCTCTGGTTGATTTTGCTGCTGCTTCTCGTCTGCGGTATCTTCTTTGGCAGCCTCTGTCTCCAGAGAGGCGCTGGGCAGCTAAAGGTGTTCAGAGCCTCAGGTAAACCTCCCTCCACAGCAGTCAGCCCTGTGATGCAGAAGGTCGGCAGGGGGACCCCATGGCCTCCGCAGGCCCAGAATCTGTCTTCTCTTTGCCCTTCCATGGCAGGAAGTGAGCTGTTAGGGCGGAGGGGGTGGCACCAAGTGCCCTTTGTCACTTGCCCAAAGGGACCCACAGGAGTGGAGGCTGCAGGCCAGTCCAGGGCACAGCCACAGTGGGATTCCAAGACTCCTCATAACAGCCAGGGGCCTGAGGGATAAGAGGGGCTGCTCCTGGTCCCCCCCCCCCAAAAAAATAGGTAAAAATGGCTAGAGACAAGAACAAAAAAGAGGCCTGTAAAATGCTAGGGAGACCAGAACCAGTCTCTTAAGGCCACAGAAGTGTGTAGAAGACAAAGCACTGATGGGACCTCTGTCTCCCACCCTTAGAATGGTCTCCACAGGCCGCGGAGGCCGCGCTGCAGCCTCTGCTCCAGGACATCCTCCGCACTCTGCCCGCTCTGCCTGGGGCAGCAGCCACATCTGGCGACCCGGTGGAGGCCACGCCAGCCACAGTGCACTGTGGCAGGACCAAGGTGTTCATGACGGACTCCACGGTAAGCTGGCTTCAGAGGAGCAGAGGTCACAGAAACAGCTGTGTACTCTCAGCAGGACAGGGGCTGGGCTCTCCTCAGGACAGGGGGAGGGTGGGCTGCGGACCTCAGTGGATGCCCCTTCTCCCAGCTGGAGCTCCTGGAACGCAGGCGTGCCCAGGTGCTGGAGCAGTGTGCCCGCTGCATCCAGGCTGGCTGGAGGCGACACCGGCATCGCAGGCAAGAGAGGCAGAGGCAGGCTGCCGTGCTCATCCAGGCAGGTAGGACTGGGGCCCTGGGCACGTAGCCTTGTTCCAGGCCCACAGATGGCCTTGAGTGCAGCTGCCGTCAGTAACTGCAGACCCTACGTTCCTTTGAATGCTGTTCCTTGAGTCCCCACACACCAAAGCTGACAGTGTCCCAGCCTCAAGGCGTTGGTGGCACGTCCTGTGGTGCGCTGGGGTTCACGCTCCGTCCTCACCCAGAGCGTCTTTCCAGTTCAGTGGAAAGCAGGTCACACCACAAATAAGGGTGCTATGTAGGTAGCGGAGGCTAAAAATCTCTTTAATTCCCTTTCCCAGACCTAGAGAGCTGTTTACTCCATCTTTCTTTCCCTTTACAACAACTCTGCTGGTCTCCAGGGCTTTTAATGAGTTTAAGAAGGTAAAAACCTGTCCTAACTGAATTGGCTCAGTGGATAGAGTGTCGCCTGCGGACTTAAGGGTCCCAGGTTCGATTCCGGTCAAGGGCATATACCTTGGTTGCGGGCACATCCCCAGTAGGGAGTGTACAGGAGGCAGCTGAATTGATGTTTCTCTCTCATCAATGTTTCTAACTCTCTATCCCTCTCCCTTCCTCTCTAAAAAATCAATAAAAAAAATATTTTTTAAAAAAGGTAAAAACCTGACAAGATTTGATTCCTCAAAGGAAGAAATGTATGAACCATGTTAACAGCAGTCTCATTTTTAAAAATAAAAATACTAGAAACCACCCAAACATTTGACAGTGGTGGAATCATGGCTATATTATGGACCATCCTTATGAAGTAGCTAAGAAGTCTTTTTGAAGATTTTAAACTTAATGGAAAACCACTTCCAATATGATGTTCAAACCTGGGTGCCAAACTATACATCAGGGTGATGCCACCTTCGTAAGGTGCATTTCTGTGCGTATTAGCATGAAAACAATGCATAAGAAAGCACTGTAGAACTATGTGGTTTGGTAAGGTAACAGCTGACTTTTATGTGTCTTTAAACATTTTCATTTTCTAGAATCCAATTGTATTCATATTTTATGGAATAGTCCTTTTCCTGAATATGATTATACCAAAAAGAAAAAAATGCTGAAATTTCAGTAAGAAAGTGTCATGGTCAGTCCACCATTTAGTAGTTATTACCTTTACCAGCATGTGGGTGTCTGGTGATATCACTCATGGATTCACAAGGCAAGCAAATTTGGGTTTCCAAAAAGAACTAATTCTAAAAAATGCAGGCAATTCAGACCCCTGATTCCCTGGACATTATGCCAGACTGAGCCAAGGGTGGGAGCTGACCCTGCTCCTAACTGTCCCTTCAAGGTATAGGCACCTCCAAGTCTGTGGGCGTGTGAGGGCCAATTCTGATTCATGTATTGACTTTAGTACCTTACCTGAGGGAAGTGTGCAGGTAGCCAGAGACTGAAAAAATACCTATTTCAAACTTTTAGGGCAGCTCTGGTGTCGCTGCACAGCCAGGTTACCAAGAGGTGTAATGAACACTGTACTCTTTCCTGTTTCTGGGCAACCCTCTAGCCATTCGCTCCTGGTTAACTCGGAAACACGTCCAGAGGCTGCACGCAGCTGCCACAGTCATCAAGCGCGCATGGCAGAAGTGGAGAGTGAGTATCGGACTCAAGAAGTCAGGGTTGCCTGTGGATATTTTGGTACCAGATAGACCCGGGTTGGAATGCTGGCCCTGCCACTGCAAAGTGGGTGGTCTCGTGTTCTTCATGCACAAAATGGCCACGCCCCACACTGCAGGGTGGCTGTGACAGTAAAGAGTGGCATAAGCAACTGGGAACGTGCTAAACACCATGGAATTATAGACCCTTTAAAGGTGTGGATTTTATATCAACTAGATCTCAACAAGGCTATTTTTTAAAGTAGCCTGTGGAAGGCCTAGGCCCACCTGCCTTGGGTATGAAGTTCTGCCACACAGAGCCTGTCTAGTTGAAGGCACCCAGCTGTTCACAGCCAGGTGGCCTTCAGTTCACCTTGTTAAGCTGACTTATTAAAGAGGCCACTCTTTAAAGGAGTGGATTTTATATCAACTAGATCTCAACAAGACTGAGATTTTTTAAAGTAGCCTGTGGAAGGCCTAGGCCCACCCGCCTTGGGTATGAAGTTCTGCCACACAGAGCCAGTCTGGTTGAAGGCACCCAGCTGTTCACAGCCAGGTGCCCTTCAGTTCACCTTGTTAAGCTGACTTATTAAAGAGGGTTTTGATTTCCATTTTTCATTAAGAGCTGAGAAGTCAAAAGCTATAAAGTGGTATTCTCTTTTTAAGATCAGAATGGCCTTCCTTGCTTCTAAAGAACTGGATGGTGTGGAAGAAAAACACTTGTTTCAAGCTCCCGGTTCCCCAAGCTCCTTCCCGCTGCCCCAGGCACAGAGCTGGCTCCCGGGGGCAATAATCCGCCTCTGGCCCCTGGGACTGGTCCTGGCCAATGCAGCCGTGGGCGTGCACGGCTTCCAGAGGAAACTGGTGGTCTGGGCCTGCCTCCAGCTCCCCACCAGCAGCCCCCGGAGCTACACTGTCCAGACAGCACAAGAGCAAGATGGTGTCACGTCCATCCGAGCACTGCCTCAGGTAAGCTGTGATGGGATGGATGGCAGTCTTGCCCACAGCAGCTCTGGGTCCCTCCCATCTCACTGTAGAAGGCAGGAGGCCAGGCCCAGGAATCCACAGCAGGAGCAGGACTGAGGCTGGGACAAGAGCCGTCCTAACCCTACTGGGGAAACCAGAGCCTAAGCTTCCCAACTGGCTGCAGTTACAACTCCGACTTTCCCAGAGCCTTTTCATCACCTCTTAAAAACTGCCTCTAAGTGTTCTGGAGCAGCCGTCGCCAACCGGTGCTCTGTGAGGTCCGAAAGGTTGGCGACCGCTGGTTTAAGGAAACCTTTGGAGCAGCAGTCACTAACCAGTGGTCCTCGGACCACTGGTCCATGAGGTCTGAAAGGCTGGCGACCACTGTTCTAGAGCCACCTTTTAGTTAGTCCCACTTTCAAAAAACTTGGGTTGTGCTGACAGCTTACTTACTCCAGTGGCACTGGATTTGGCATCAGGTTTTCCCCAAATGATGTTACTTGGTTTTTCTCCTTTTCCAGCTAAGGAAATGACAACCAGGTGAGTCACTGGTCCGAGTGCCCTGTGTTTTTATATTACGGGCAGCCAGGGGAAAAGTCAGCCAGCATATAAAACAGGCAAATACTCAAGGATTATGTGATAACAACAAGGCAGAAGGAAGGAAACTGAATTTCTTGCCAGAGGAATTACTGTAGGCCAGAACCTGGGTAAAATCTCCCATGACCACACAGTGTAAACCGAAATCTGTTCGACCTTCTGGCGTTAAGCAGTCTTAGGGCTGAGACAGGTGACACTTCTAGGAGGGGAGCGCTCTACTGTTCCTCACCTGCCTCACACTGCAGGGATGTGAACTTTTCTATTCTAATACCGCTCTGGACTTTGCCACTTAACCAACTGAAAAACATGTTGGTTAGTTCAGTCCTGCTACTGCCGTGACTCTCATGCCAGCACTTACTTGTCCACACTCCCCTGCATCCCTAGCATTTGCTCTGTGAGGTACCTTTAGGCCCTGGCTCTCCTGGGAGCCGGGGTTAAGCCACATCTCTCTCTCCCCAGGGCTCGATCAAGTTTCACTGCAGAAAGTCTCCGCTGCGCTATGCTGACATCTGCCCTGAACCTTCGTCCGACAGTGTTACTGGCTTTAATCAGATTCTGCTGGAAAGACACAGGCTGGGCCACGTGTGATCTCTTCTCACCTTCTGTCCTCACCTGGCTGGGCAACCTGTGGTGCCTTTGTTTCTACAATGCCTTTCCTGCCAGCTGCCTTGCCAAAGACATTCAATCAACACATAGCTGCCAAACTACTCCCAGTGACTCCCAGGCCTGTGAGAGTGATGGCTCCTGCCCGCCTGTGGGCCAGGGCTGTGCGGTCCATCACCAGTGGGGCCTGGGGCTCCAGCCTCCATCTCAAGCACTGACAGGTGTCAGGGTTAGTAGTTCCCAGACCAAGATTAAGAAACAGCAGGGCCACATTTTAACTACATTCGTGGAGCCAACTGCAATCAAACAAGATTGAGAGTTGTCTGTCACTACAGTGGGGTACCCTCCACTCTGATTCCCCACAAACAGAACAAGCAGCCTGAGATCAGCTCTAAAATTTTGGCTGGGGAAATTCTGTGTTTAGTTCCTTTAAAAGGAACAAAACTTTACTATTTAATATGTTGTTGATTTATTTAATTTGAAGCAATTAAATTATGAATCAAGGATGATGAACAATGCAACGTACCACAGAACCACACCTTGATTTTATTTAGTAACACTGAGCAAGTTTTCACTCAAACAAGTGTGAAACTTGATAAATTATCTCACGATATCTACCTTAACTGTACCAAAAATAAATAACTTAAAAACAACCATTTGAAAGTGTGCCACTTGAGTGCCCCCATCTGTCTGACACCTAAGCCCACAGCAATGGAGGTGAAGACTCGCATGACCTACCCTACACCAGCAGGTCTTCGTCCTGGAAACACTGCCCTTGCTTGGGGCCCCACATTAGCTGGTCTCCTGGGAGAAGGAGCAAGCAGCACCACAATCCATTTTAAGGATCCTTATTCTGGGATGGTTCCACGATGCTTAAACAGCAGTCGGCAAACTCCACAAACAAGGGCTCCTGCATGCAGGCTCTCATGAGCTTGGCCTTGTCGTCCCCCTGATCGAGGCTGACCATCAACTGTCTAAGGTGTGGATTGAGCAGTAAGCTTCTTAATGCTGCAGACTCCCCTTAAAAATTAAGGAAAGAAAGCCAATCTGAGTTGAAGCTGGAACAGGTGGAGATGGCTGAAAGCTAAATGCTTTAAATGTAATATTGTATCCCCTTAACCTTTAAACCCACAAATTAACCCCAGTGCTTTGCATAAACAAGGTGAAATCAGCATATAAAATGATTTCCAAGTTAAATACTTCATGACTACATATACAGAGAACAGCCTTAGCTTATTGGCAAGGACAGTTAGACACTGAATCAAGCACGTCCAACTCCAGAGGGAGTGCTTGTGAATGATGCTTAAGTGCTTGATCCAGCCTAAAGCATGGTCGGTAGTGAAATGATGCTAACATCTGTGTGGTGCTTTACAGATGACAGAACTGTTCACAACTATCCCCAGCTAGCTCCAACCTCGTTCTAACCACTGCCATGGGACCGGGTGCAAAGCACCACCTGTCAGGCGGACTGTGAAATGGGAATGAAAATAATGCCCACCTGTAGGAACTACCCTGGCCCATGAATTAGAGGTAACAGAACTGCTCTAGGGACTGAATGAGCAATCCCACAAATACTGGGTATTATTAACGCCCACATCCTCTAAAAATCAAGTCCAAAAAAGGGGACATCTAATACTTTCAACAATAAAGATAGCCTTAGCCGGTTTGGCTCAATGGATAGAGCGTCAGCCCGAGGACTGAACAGTTCAGGTTCTATTCTGGTTAAGGGCACCCACCTTAGTTGCAGGCACAATCCCCCACCCTGATCAGGGCGAGTGCAGGTGGCAACCAATCGATGTCTCTCTCACATTGATATTTCTCTCTCTCTCTCTCTGTCTTTCGCCCTCCCTTACACCCTCTCTAAAATAAAAATGGAAAAATATCCTCGGACCCAGTAAGGTATTTTTTAAAAAATAAAAACAAATTTAAAAAATCAAGTCCTGGGATTATCCAGTATGCATTAATGGCTAGACTGCAAATGGAGCACTAGGAACATGGAAATAAATGTAGATTTCTCGCCTACAGACTGATGTGAAACAAATTACCATAATATCTGGTGAGTAGTATATTACAAGGCACCATGGGAAGATGAAAAAGTATCTAATTCTGGCAGTCAAAGGTCAAGAACACTTTAACTGAGGACAGGACACTTGAACAAAGCCTTGAAGGAGGAAAAGAACTCTGCTAACTCACAAAGCCACTGTGACCCCAAGCCAAGAAAACGGCCTTACAGACAAGCTGGGAGGTGTGGAAACCCTGTGTTGTTAACAGAACCGTGTGGCTGGATGAAGGGCTCTGCATGCCACGCTAAAGTATTTAATAATCTTAAAAATCACATTCTGGCTCTGGCCAGGCGGCTCAGTTAGAGCTTCGTTCACATACACCAAGGCTGCGGGTTACAAGAAGCAACCAATGAATGCATAAATAAGTTGAAAAACAAATTGATGTTTCTTTTGTTCTCTCTCCCTTCCTCTCTTTCTCTAAAATCATAAATAAAACCACATTCTATACAACAGATTAAATGTATCTCAATGGTTGACAAAAAGTAAGCACAGTACAGACTTACCTAAATTCTTTAAATTCTGCAAAGAAACTCTGTCCTGTTCCTCGTCACTATTGAGAAAATCAGCTACAGAGTCGTCGTCATCATCTAAGGAATACATAACACAATCAACTACTTATGGCTCTAAAGAAAGGCCAGGTACCAGATTTTAACTACTCAAATAGAGTTTAAAAATGTATAGGCACACACGTGACAGTAACCCATTTGTATAAACTCCTCCTTTAGGAAAGGGAAGGAAAATGAAAGAAACATTGGTGACTTAAAACAAATGCATCCTAGTGTTCACACGCTTAGTCTTATGTGTTTCCCTGTTGTCGTTATGCTGGAGGCTGATTTTCCAATTCTTATCCTCCTTCTCTCCTCACCATGGCTCCAGCTCTCAGATGGACCAATAAACTAGGTGTGCTCCATAAAAACCTGCTAATGTCAATCTCCTCATGGGCAGAAACTGCTGGCATTGCCTGAACCCAATAAGGAAGTTTGTCCAAGGGCAGAACCAGGCCACCTCCTTCTTGCTGTGAATGTTCAAGATGCCTTGGGTGGCATCAGAGGGGGCTGCTTTCAGAGGCAGGCATGATGCATGACCCCAGGTAGCCAGTTGGCTGGCAGGATGGGATGGCAGCTCTCTACCACTGTAACCTGTGAGAAGCTTCCAGGAGCAGCAGCAAGGTGTCATGAGCCAAGGGCAGCCTCTCACCTAGGCCTGCTCAGGTGAACTGACAGGTCCAGCCAGACCCATGAAGGGAGACTGAAGCCATGACTACAGAAGGCTCCCTCACCCCCAAACCACACCCACGGTCTTCCCCCTCTTGCCCCTTGCCCCTACTATTCCTGTCCTGAACAATGCCTTTAGGCTGCTCTCTATCACCGCAAGGACAGTGCCCCCACTCCTGATGCTCTGGGCTAAGGAAGCTGCTTCTCCCTAATGAAGACATGGTCCTTGACTCCCTGCCCCAGCCCGTCTCCTCTTTCCTTTCAACTTATTCTATTTCAAGGCCCTTTCTAGGTTTGTTTGTTTGAAGTCAACTAACCCACCTTTGTTTTCCTCGGGCTTTACAGTTCTTGCAGTAAAAGCTGATATTTTTTCCTCAACAAGACGAGTTTCGGTATTGCACTGCTCTGAAAGACACACAAACATCAGGAGCATATCACCTCCATTTTAGTGACAAGGCTATACCTCCCCACCAAGCCAGCATCGAGGTGGGAAGCATAAGGATGGAGTAAGGGATGTGGGTGGGGGTAGAGATGGATGCAGAGGAAGTGAGAGATCAGATCAAGGGAAAGTAGCAAAAACAAGCAACCCTGAACCTGGCAAAACAACTTATGGACCCTAGGACCTGTCCGGATCCCTCCTTGCCTTGCCTAGTATCACAGGGCTTTCATTATGTTTAAGTGGCACACTGACTTCAATTAGCATCAAACTATTTTCTCAGGAGTTTCAGGTATCAAATTTGCATGTGCTCGTGCCATTGGGCATACACAGGTCCAGCCCAGAGGGGTTCAGTCTTAGGGATGACAGCTAGAGAGATGGATAAGATGCAAAGGGCCGGAAGATAAGACCAAGAGGAGTCTTGCAGGAGGAGGCATTGCCAGGTCAAAGACCATTTCTGGCAGAAGATGTGTGGCTAGCACCAACCCTTAAAATAGGGTCAGGTGCAAGGAGATGGTGATGAGCAAATGCCAGCAGACTGGTGGTGGCTGGAACACAAGTGGAGAAAGCAGGAGCAAAAGTATGCCATATGCAGGCCGACTGTTACAGGTATTTCTCAGCAAGAGTGCTACTGTGCTCAGGGTGGAAAGGTCTTTAATGCTGTCGGTCTCACACACCACAAGGTGTTTATTAGGATCAATACCAATTACCAGAAGTACCACCAACTCCTCCTCAGCTACTGTAACAACAAAAACTTTGTGAAGTGGTATCTCCCTGGGGAGAACCACACCCAGGTTAAGAACCACTGACCTGTGCTGGAGAGAACTGGCCTTTTCAACAAGGGAGTGAATTGCTCCAATTTGCATTTCAGAAAACTCACCCGGGCCGGCAGCAGGGCCACACAGATAAGAGCTCCTGATGGGGTTCTTAGAGGGGCCTCACGGGGATGCAAGGTGAGGGGGAAGTGCTCCCAACCCAGCTCTCCAGCCCTATTTCCAGCCAAACAGTTATCTTCTTTCCTGTCTACCTTTAGTTGAAGGTTTATTTTTTTAAATATATTTTTATTGGTTTCAGAGAGGAAGAGAGAGAAACATCAGTGATGAGAGAGAATCATGGATCACTGGCCTCCTGCAGGCCCCCCTACTGGGGAACCAGCAACCCCCGGCATGTGCCCTGACTAGGAACTGAACCACGGAATCCAACCATTCCGTGACCTCCTGGTTCATAGGTCCACACTCAACCGGCCAGGCGAAGGTTTCTTTTGAAATACTCCAGAGATATTAGAAAAAAGGCAGGGGGCGGGGTTGGAGAGAAAGGCATGAAACATACTGTCGTAAAGCAGAGACTAGAGGGGATGAAACAAACAACTAATGAGAAAAAAGGGGGGGCATCTATAATACTATCAACGATAAAGATAAATTTTAAAGAACCTAGACGAGAAACTTTAACATGAATCAAACAATCATGAAGTCGTGGGAAAGGGCCCCGAGGGCTGAGAAGAGGCGCTGGAGGAACAGTTAAAATGTACACTTGACAACATTAACAGCCAAGGACATAGCTCCTTATTGTAAAAAGACCTACCTCACTGTTTCTAACAAGACCTTATTTAGAAGAACGTTCTCGTTAACCTTAGCCAGCGCAACTTGGGCCGAATGAGGAGGAAAACAAAGATGAAATAGCTGGGTTGCCTTTTCCGGCGAAAAACGACCCACTCTTTTTAAAAGACACACAAAAAAAGGATAGCACGTGGAAGAAAAGACAGAGCAGAAGAAAGTTCTGACTGTTCAAAATCCGAAGAAGCATTCACAGGCAGAGGTGTCCCCAAGAGATCCGACAGGGTCGGGCGCGACAAGGCCCGGAGGGAGCGGGCCTGAGGGGTGCACAGCCCCGAGACCCGGGCGGGGCGTGGGG